AATTCGGGACTCACTTATTGCTTCTCTAGGCTATGATGAGCGTCACACAATGGATGGCAAAATCGAGTACCAACTAGTGCTTTCGCTTGCCCCGCTCGGTTGCTTGCAGGATTGGTTAATTGCCAACACCATGGGCTTCGAAGCGTTCTGCAGCATGGCCAAGTCCATCACGCGTGGCCTTTCGCATCTGCATACAGAAATAAGTCGGGGTGACGAATATAAGCCGTGCGTCGCGCATCGCGACTTCAACTCGCGTAACGTGCTCGTCAAAGCCGATCGAACGTGCTGCATCGGGGATTTTGGTTTTGCCTTGAAAGTATTTGGCTCCAAGTACGAATACCGCGGCGAAGTTGCTGTAGCCGAAACAAAAAGCATCAACGAAGTGGGCACGCTCCGTTACATGGCACCGGAACTGTTGGAGGGCGCCGTCAATTTGCGTGACTGCGAAACATCACTCAAGCAAATGGATGTTTATGCTCTGGGATTGGTACTGTGGGAGGTGGCTACTCGATGCTCGGACTTCTATCCACCTGCCCAAATGACGCCATCCTACAAAGCCCCCTACGAACAGGAGGTCGGCACCCATCCCACTTTTGACCAAATGCAGGCGTTGGTGGTGCGGCACAAGGCACGACCCTTGTTTCCCGCAGGCTGGGGTGGGGGCTCTGCGGCCAAGTTGATAAAGGATACATGCGAGGATTGTTGGGATCATGATGCTGAAGCGCGTCTAACATCGCTCTGTGCCGAAGAGCGCATGCAAGAAGCAGCTGGTTTGCGGCCGCGCTACTCACATGCACAGTCGCCTAGTCCTTTGCTGAGCGCAAACAATTTGTTGGTGCCTGATCAGGTGGATGGGAGCGTGAAAATATCCATGGATACGTGTAATTCGGAAACAGAAACGATGCTTCAGCCGCCACCAAACCAAAAGATTTTGCCGCGCGCCCAAAGTGTGGGCAGTGAGTTAGGTATCGCACCGCATGCAGAGAAGAACCATCTTATTCACAACCAACAACAACTACAACCATATCAGGGACGCAACCCATGCCAAGAGCGCAACCTGGCACCAGTGTCCAATCGACCGCCCCAGATTTTGGTTGAGAAAAGCAAGAAGCACAGCTTTCAAAACGGACAAGAAAACAGTTTTTCTTGCTTAGAAGACGACGTTTCAGTCGAAGACCTTATCTCTGGTGGTAGCTCGAAAAAAATTAACAATTTCATGACAGAGAATGCACCGAGCATGGGAGAAGGCTTTCCTAAGCAACACAATACCGATCGGAAATTGAGAGGTTGGCATGGCGTTCGGGCGCTAATACAGAAAAAACTTTTCCGCAAAAGCGACGTTGGCAACGACCTTTTCCAGCAGCAGTTCGGGTTCGGAGATGAAAAGTCTAACTTGGTGGACAATCGGTACGCTGCCGTTATTAAGGGGCTCGACAACAATGGCAGCGATAGGTTGGCAAAGGCAGCAACAATTAGTTACATAGATGACCGGCAACGCAGCAATAACGGTGTGGCCACAACCAAGACCACAATGCTCACTGATGTCTACCCACATACACGGCGACCCAACAACCTTGACTTGAGTCCTATGAACGGTTCAGCCGTACCAGTAGGAGAGTCCAGCGGCCCGCTTAATGCTCCTGTTGCTTACAACAAGTCAAATCTAATTCAAAGCATAGCGGAGGAGAGCAACGACAGGAGCGCCAAACAACACCTTCAGCAAGTAGACAAACGCACTAGCACGCCATGCCATGTGGTGCCACGTTCCCTCTCTTCTAGTCTAATTAAACACATAAACCGCAATAACAATAACGTGAGTAAAGGCGAGCTGAATACCATAAACGCTACGAACAGCAGCCCTAAGGAAACCACGCCTGCACCGGTGTCCAACTCGACCGGTCACCTCAAAGCGCCCAGCAATACAGATATCCTCTTTAGGCGGCAGCGGAGCCTTGAAATGTTTCGCGAGGTGTTCAGTGGCCGAGGCAGCACGGAAAAGCTACGAGATCCCAGTCAGCGCGTCAAAACGCCAGGTGATGTGCCGCCCTCTGTGCGCAAGGTGCGAGCCTCGAAGACGCTTAGCCTATACGACGATCGGATGATGGACTCTTCAACGCTGAATATACTCTAGCATGAGGAGGTTCTGTTGCTGGAGTTGTAAGCAGTTTGGCCCCGGGTTGCCCGTCAGCTTACCATTTCAGTAGGCAGAACAGAGTGCACAGAGTGTAGATGAATGTGAAAGGAATGGAGACGAAAATAAATACTCGCGCGCGGTTTTTTCGAAGCTCATCGACAGGATGAGCTTATACTCACTCATAGATGTAGTTGCGTTGAACGCGCGGCTCATAAGTAGATCGTAGGTCTTCGTAGTACCACCCCTTCCATTGAGACCCTACTCTACATATGTGTGTAGTATGTATTGTGTTTGTATTCAAATGTCTACGCACGTGTGTGCTGAAAAAACCAAAGTCCTTATAGTGTAATATTGAACGTGTTTTTGTACGAAGTCTATGTATGTATGTATGTATGTATCTCTAAAAACAGTCGCCAGTAAGCTAGTCTTAAGTTTGTATGCAGTAGTTAATGTATATGTATGTATGTTACAAAAAGCGTAGCACCAGGTCAGCCATTGCTTGTGAACGCCGGCAAGGCAAATTAGTGTAGCGAAGATATTTATTTTTTATTCCACTTATTGGTAGAACATTGAAGACAACTAACTGTACATCTCTAGGGAATTTTCACAGCATAGTGTTATAGTATATACATATATATGTAACTCGGTAATAACATACACATAAACGGGTAGAAAACTCTGTTGGTTTACACTGTGCATCAGTAAAACGAAATTTTTTGAGATCGTAGCTGTGCGGGATTAATTCAACTTAAAATTGTAGAGTAGTCTTGAGAAAATTATTTTCGGGAATACATAATTTGAAATTTTCAAGGTGTTCGAAAAATTTCAAACACTCGCACTAACTTATTTAAAAAGTTGCCGAATTTTTTTTTTTTTTGTTATACCGCATTATTATTAGTTCAATTATATTTTATGATTTAGTTAAGTAGAAGTGTATGCCATAGGACATATGTATGTATATTTAGGCTATTTATAATGACTAGTACGTATTTCATAATTTGTACCATACGCGCATAATTAGACTGTTGATAGGTTCAAAAAGTTAAATGAATTTGGAAATTGCCTTGTATTTCATTAAAAAAAAAAAAGTTGTAGAAAATACATTGAAAATACAATTATATAAATATTGCATTGATGGTACTTTGATATATGTAGCTATATTCCAACTATATTCAAAATGATTCCAAGCAAATGAGGTAAAAGTGTTGAATGTATTCGTTTAGAAATTACATAGAACAAATGAAACGTATCTATGTATGTCTCAGAAGAATATAAACTGACATCACATACCATTAGTAGAGTTTTACATTAATAAATAAGTTATGCTGATAAAAATGTATGTATGTATTTAATTGAATTCCATCTATTGTATTGAGACATATATTTAATAAAATAATAACAAATAGGTTAAATACACATAAAAATGCAACGAAAAGTGTGTTGATGCTTCATTTGGGTCAGTGATTCCCAAAGTGGTCCAGGTTGTAAAGGGTTCCAGGGGTAGACGGGGCCTCGACGGTGGGTCTACGGTGGCGTGAAAAAGAAATGGAGATTCACATGTTGTAAGTGGGGGCCCACGAAAATGTATCTGGTTTCGATAGTAAATTACGAAAATGTTGGCTTAGCTTTCCTATTTATCAAAAAGGCAGATGTACCTTAAAAAAAATTAAGGGAGCACGAAAAAATACTTACATTTTACGGTTGAATTGCCCTTTACACTGGCGATTTTTTGGTTAAACGACAAAAATCGACTAGAAAATCGACTCGTGTGGGTAAAGGCAGCTTTAAAACTAAAAGAGCGTTTTTCTCCCTCAATATTTACCTAACGCTCATATGCCACTCAATATATTAAAGCCCGGTTATGCAAGACTTAGCCTTGACTTGACTTACCTAGAAGCTTAGAAACGATTACTCTGCGTGTCATCTGTCTGTTTTATTATCCTCAGTATTTGTACACGCAAAATTGTAAACGTTTAATTTGTTTGGGGTAAAATAGCATAATAATCGCAATTGAGATAAATGTATTTAAGCATATCAAATCGTGATTGTTTTTATTTTATTTTCTTTCTTTATTTGAAGTTTGTTTTGCGATTGTCCTATGAATTGCATTTATATAAAAAATCATTTTTATATGACATATTTGTAGGGAATTTTATTAAAAATAAGTAAAAAACATAATATGGCAGCAATATTCTCTCACGGCTCTCTTCCCAATTAGAATCATAGCTTAGAAATCAAAAATCTATAGTTCTTCAAGTTTCTGAGTGAAGTTGGTTTTTTGGGTAACTACAGGCGCTGCCTATTTACCAGATATACAATTTTTAAGTGAAGTCAAGTCTAAGTCTGGCATAACTGAGGTTTAATTAACTCCTTGCAAAAGAGCGTTTTGTCTCTTTGGCTCATTTAGCTTACACAACTCAGTATGTAGTTGAGTTAATCGTTGACAAACTTATTAAAGAAGCAGGGAGCGCAATAATTTTTTTTTGTGCTCTAAATTTGATTCGCCCCTTGCCTAGTTGTTTCTCATATATTTTTCTAGATTCGCTCTTTTCTATATTGTCAGATTCTGAAATAAAAGTTTGGCTTAAAAAGCTGTTAGGTTTTGTGTTTTAAAAATGGGAGTGATAAATATTTTTTGTATCACTTTAAAGCTCAGAGCGATGAAACTAAAAGTGATGCCATCAATACGAATAAACTCTTTTACAAATACTTTAAAAGTGTAGTGCTCAGAAAATACTATAACTCCTCAGAGCAGAGCTAAAATACGATGGCTTTACGAACTCTGTTTTAAGTAAGTCAGTGACTATTTCTTATAAAAATTTGTATATTCGATATAAAGTTATGTATATTATTTTTGTTAATTTGAATTGTTGAAGTTACGCTTCGTTATTTATGTTTTATTATAATTTGGTAATTTGGGGAATTTTTAGTTATTTAGCTCCAAGAAAATGGTATAAAATTGGTGTCAGAAGAGAGCGCGCGTTCCCCCGATTCCAATTATATAACTTTCATCTGCCGCACAATAAATAAAAAAATAACTTTCAGCGGTCCAACACCGGCTATGCTGACTTCAGTTTTTTTTGCGCAGAACACCTTTCACCTATATTCTATTTTTCTTTGTATTTTAATCACTCCGAAATGTGGGTTGGAATTCATCCGCGACTCAAAATTCCATCGTTAGAACTAAATTTCACATTTTTTGTTGAGTTTTGGGAATATGGTAGAATTGTAGCAGCAGGGGGTCCAACGAAACCAGTAACGTTTTAAAAGGGGTCTACCAAAAAAAAAAGTTTAGGGACCTTTGATTTAGATTGTCGATCGTTTGCATCCCAGTGTAAAATTTGGAATGATAGATTAACTGACGTTTACTAGGGCAGATAGCTACTAGTATGGTTAGATTACCTTAAGTACTGAATAAGTATGCAGATGTAATTGACATGTATGTTTGAAGGAAACTTTTTGCTTCGCGTTTTTTGAAATGCAATGAAAATTTTCAAATAGATTGTTGGAAAATCACCAGAAAGCTATTCGTTAAAAAATCGTCTAATCCATTACACACAGCAAAAAGTCAGCTAAAAATATTTTTCTCCACACAGGATTTGGTAACTTTAACCAAATAATGCAACTACAGTCAAATCATGTATTTATTTATAGAAATTTATTTACCTGATTTTTTTTCTGGGTGTACCTTTATGAATGAGAAATATAGGTATGTTCGCAAAACTACCTGAAAAGGCCCCCACCCATTCAATGTAGGCCTTTTCAACCGAATAACAACTCCAAGACCAGGGTGATTGGCTCGGTTTCCCAAACCGTTTTTAGCCAGTTTTTTTTGCTAAGTTTTTGGGCGGATACCAATTATGCTTTTTCAAATTGGAGCAAATCAATGCTTTTTAAAATCCACTACAGAGCGTTTCCTTTGGCTGAATTGGCGTTTCAAGCATACGCTTTAACACAATTAAACAAAAATGTGGCTTAAATTCATTCGATTATTTAAAATACCTGCAGATTACCATACGAATGTTTTTTTTTAACTTCAATTTTATTTTTGTTTAAATGCGATATACCAGTAGAATTTCACAACATCTAATTCCAGAGGGGATTTGATTCACGAAATGATTTACTAAAAAGTATTTATTACAGCCATCAAACATGATATATTCGAACTATAGGTTTTGTTTGTGTTCCACAATGTTATAGAACGGCGAGTTTCAGAAAAAATTTACATATCTTTTCTTAATACATGAACGAGGAATATAAAGTCGGTTTTACCCGAACTCAGATTTCTTTATTACGTAGAGATGTATTTTGGAGCCTTGACTTCTACAGCACCAACTATGTATACCTGATTTTTTTTCTGTGCTGAAGCAAATTTTTAAGTAATTTCCTCTACTGAAGTCGGCTGGATTAACATTTTCTCTTATCGTATGCATGTCAACTTACTCCTTCGGGAAGACACGTCTTGGCACCGACATGCATTTATTCTGAAAATTTTGCGGATATTCAAGGTTGCACCTACCTGAACGGTATATATGTACATTAGGGTGGTGCTTAAAAAATCAAATAAGCGATTTTTTCATTCTCAGCCGCTCAATCGGTAATATCACGATCACAGATATCACTTAAAAATTTTGGTCCCGATTGGAGTCGGCTAAGGCGTGTCGCATAGGGATCAAAGGAGAACGAAAAATGGCACTGAAGATGGCACAACGCCGAAACCGGTTTGTCTCCAAACCAAATTTGACAAGGGATGACGGAAAATCGTTCCACAATACATCATACTCCTACCCTGTCGGAAACACAAACAACCAAAAAGAAATGCCTCTATGGAGACTCAACAAATTATTATTATTTTTTTTATTTAATACCCATAACCAATCCTGCTAAAGTCGAAGATATCACATATAAATTTTGGTCCCAGAAGCAGTCAGTTAACACGTTTTCATTGGGTCAACTGAAGTTTTACCGACTCCAATCTGGACCAAAATTTATATGTGATATCTTCGACTATGGTAAAACCGATTTTGGTTATTAGATGAAAAAAAAAATTTATTTTTTGAGAGTCTGAACATTACTCCCCTGTGCGACACGTAAAAATTTTCTTCCTACATTTAAGCACCACCCTAATATACATACATGCATAAGTACACACATACATATTTGAGAGAAAAAAATGTATAAATTCTTTTCCAGAAAATCGCAAAAAACCCATTGAAATCACTTGCGTTTATTCCACCTAGTTACAAATCGACAATGGCAAGATACAAACACAAAGATACATTTATATAGCTTATCGTTAGTTGATTCCTAAATAAGTATCTGTTAATCTCCGCACCCATCCACCCTCGGTTTCAATTGAATGCTGACTGGTCTGCTGGGCTTATTGATTAGCAGTGTGCGCACACCCATCTTCTCGTCGTCGCCAGTCCAAGTAATTTCGAAATTTCGCATCATCTGCCAT